TAAAAAAAAAAAATCAAAATCCTCTCAACGCCGTTCTGAAATATGGCGAATTAAAAGAGCAATTTCGACAACTATTGGTGTAAAAAATTACTTATCTACATATATTTAACGTTTTATTTTTTGTTTAGTTAGCAAGTTGCATCGGTTAGAATGAGTATGATTGAATTGGAAAAAAGAACAAAAATCGCCTTTGTTTCGTGCTACAAAGCATGAAATGGACTTCTTCATTTCGTCCTTCATAGCACGAAATAGAGGAATTTTCTTGATTTGTTTCGTGCAGACGTACACGAAAACCAAGCTTCTATTTCGTGTAAATCTACACTTAACGGTCCAAAAATTGAGTTTTTTTGTTACATTTCGTGCAATTTCACACGAAATGCAACATTGCATTTCGTGTAATCCTACACAAAATGCATTAAAAAAGACGAAAGTCTGACAAAAAAATGCTTCTTTTAATCTCAGAATCAAATGTTTTTTTTTTTCTTTTTATCTCAGAATCAGAATCGGTTTCAGCCATATTGATAATTGGTGTGCAAAGAGGAGAGGAGATTTTCATTTTTCCATAATATTTACAATATTTTTTTTTCTTTTTTTAATTTGTATATGTCATCCAACAATGAATATGCCTAAAAACAAATGAACTATTTAGAACCAAAAACATTCACAAACCCAAATCATTACCTAACATCAAATGCAATCAAATGAATCCAAAACATCAAGGAAAAAAAAAAAAAAACAGAGACTTACTCTCAGTACTTTGATCAATTATTTTTATTATGTAAAAAAAAAAAAAAAAAAAAATCATCACTCGATAACGGCTAATCAAAATTCCCGACGACAAAAATAAATTACGACTAAAATTTGCCACCTGTTTGTCAACCTTCGGTGACATGATGTTGCTTCTGTGGCAAAGCTCTCCACCCAATATCCCGTCTGTAAAATCCCTCCGGCCAGTTGACTTGGTCAACGGCTTGGTAAACCCTATCACGAGCCTCAGCAAGATTTGCCCCCTTGGCGGTGATTCCAAGAACACGGCCCCCGGTGGCAATATAGTTACCATCGGAATCAAGGGCGGTGCCAGCATGGAATACCTTAACGGTGGGGGCCACTTGCTCAGCTTCTTCTAGGTTATGAATCACCGTTCCGTTTTTGTAACTGCCGGGGTAACCGTTGCTAGCCATAACCACCACCATAGCTGAACCAGGGGACCACTCTAGCGATACGTTGGCTAGTTTTCCCTTGCATGCTGCCAGTAGGACTTGAGCTAGGTCCGATTCCAAACGGACCATCAATACCTGCAAATTACCCGTGTCCGAAATTCGATTACAAAAAAAAAAAATCAAGAACGTAACACATTGTAAAACGAGGGAAAACGGAACATGGAAATCACACTTGTTGCGTCGGGGTTTATTGTATTTACTTTAGTACCCCACGTGTAATAGTGAATTGCTAAAAAAGCCGTCGCATTATTAATATTAACGAAAAGAAACACATCCTACAATGCAATTTTTTTAGCAAACTATAGGCTAATTTAAAAATAATTAATTTAAAAAACCTCTAATTCAGGCTAATTTTGATGGAAACAAGTCATTCGCATAAGAGAAGACAAGATTAAAGTCAGATGCAATACAAGCAAACCGAATTCAATAGTCTCATTTTTTTTTTTGTAATGTTGCATCCTATTCGATTTTTTCCTAATTCTTCTCGACATGAATTTCTAGACCGGTCTAAGTAAGACTAAAAAACCGATCAACACGAAAATTTAACAATTAACAGAAGAAAAAGAAAAAAAACCAACCTGGCACTCTGGATCACCGAAACGAACATTGTACTCAATCAGCTTCGGCAAACCAGATTTCCTCTCAATCATAAGCCCAGCGTACAAAACACCGACAAACTTACACCCTTCCAAAGCCATCCCTTTCACAGTCGGAACAATTATAGATTCCATCACGACCTTTTCGAGTTCTTTAGTCAAGACGGGGGCCGGAGAATAGGCCCCCATGCCACCTGTATTGGGCCCCACATCACCATCCCCAACTCGTTTATGGTCCTGAGCAGATTCTAGAGCTAACGCATTCTCACCATCCACTAGAGCGAAAAAAGAAGCTTCCTCTCCTTCGAGACACTCCTCAATAATTACACGACCGCCCGCGGATCCAAAAGCATTTTTTACGAGCATTGTTTCGACTGCTTCGTATGCCTCTTCTAGAGTTGTGGCGACTATGACTCCTTTTCCGGCTGCTAAGCCATCTGCTTGGACTACGATCGGAGCGCCTTCACTTGTTAGTAAGCTTTTGCGAGAGATGGATCGGAGAATGTTCGGTACTGCATAATCAAGAATCAAGAATCAGTGAGGTGAGTGTTTTTTTGCATATTCACCCTTATTTTCGTAATTCAAATTCAACTTATTACGACTATTTAGATATTTCGTCAAAATAAACTAAAAATTATAGTTTATTTGCAGACACATCATCAACTGCTACGTTAGGTGCTTAAAGTTGATTTTTTTTCATAACATTTGCGAACACCCCAACTTTTAGAAATAACTAATTATTTCACGGTTTACTCATACTCACCAAACGAGTAACGTTTCAAATATTTGCTTAAATGCTTACTTATAAAAGTTGGGGGTCGTTTGGAAAAAAAATCAAGACTTTAAACAGTTAATTATAAGCTGACGAATAACTAAAATTTACTTAAAATTTTCGATCAAAATAATAAGGCACAAATGGCCAATGCAACTTAAAAAAACTGCTGCAAAGATTCTTTTTTGAGATTCTATCTGAATTTGCGAACACTCGAAAACATATAATTAGCCAAAAACAAGAAAAGCTCGTATTCTAGTTCCAAAAGCTTTTGCAAACACCAAGAGAACTAACCAAAAGAACAAAAACTAAACCACGTCGTCGATAAATGCAATATAAAAACTTAAAAAAGAAAAAAAAACGAACCTTAGCAGTTGGAATATCATATTTGTCACACAATCGTTTCATAAAGTCCTTAGAACCTTCCAAGGCAGCAGCTTCAGAAGAAGGGCCGAAAGTAGGAATCCCGGCATTTACAAGATCGTTCGCAAGGCCCGCAACAAGAGGAGCTTCGGGCCCCACCACAACCAGCCCGATACCCCATTCACGGCAGAAGGCAATCACCGACAAGCTGTCGGAGATATCTAGGTAGTCTATACAAGTTGCATCGCCGGAGTTGGATATTCCGGCATTGCCAGGTGCACAGAAGACGGCATCGCACGACGGAGATCGTTTCTTCAGGGCGTAACAAAGCGCGTGCTCTCTTCCACCTCCGCCGATAACTAATACCGATACTCTTTCCACTACAATAGAATTTAATTTTGAGCCACACATTGTTAAAATCACAAATTTACAGTTCTGATTTATTGGAATGATTAGACATAAATAAAAGTAGAAAAGAAAAAAAAAATATAAAAAATTACCGTAGGTCGTTACTTGAAGCAACGCAGCTAAAAACAGGAAACCCCTGCTGACGGAAAACGACGCCGTTTCTGCGGCGGGCTGTAAACCCACGGCGGCGAATTTGACCGGAGCTACCACACCGAAGATTTGAAGCGTCCCAATTGATGGGTCCGGCGAGAAAAAAGCTCTGAGAGAAGACACGTTTGGCGATAAATTGAAAAAACGAGTAGGAGTGGTGAATGATTCCGTACTACCGCCATTGAAGGCGGTTGCGAAGCTCTGCGAAAATATGCAGGCCATGAAATAGTGAAGCAATTACGACGCAATTAGGGGATTAAATAGATGAGAGAGATACAGTGGAGAGTTGCGATTATGAAGAAATTTGGGGAAGAAGTTGCAGACAAATGAGCGGCAAAAGGAAGTGAGAGAAAGAATTGTGCTTTGTAGGTTTTCATTACTGTATTTCCATTTCTGGTTTCTTTTTTCGAAAACCTTCTTTTTTTTTTATTATTATTATTATCAAAATTGGATATACCGATTTTCGATTTTCTATTCAATTTTAATTTTCAAAAATAAATTTGAAATTGGATTACATGTGAGATATCGATATTCGGTCCATTTTAGAAAAACAAAATAAGAAAAGAAATTTTATTTAGACTTATCAATATTTAGGGGTGTTCACCAGGCAAAACGATCGAATGGAACCGATCGAAAATTCGGTATGTGCCATATACCGTCGAAAATCTGGTATTCGGTAAATACTTTTTGGAAATCTTGTAATCGGTACGGTATACCATATTGAAAATTCGGTAAGTTGCCAGATACCGAATCGAAAATCTGGTATTCAGTAAATATTTTTTGGAAATCCGGTAATCGGCACAGTATATGATATTAATGTTCGGTATACCATACCGTACCGTATACCGAAGTATTTAGTAAATTTTTTTTTCTTTTCCTTTAAATTCTTTAAGGTTATAACAAATTGTAAAATGCTTTTAGATTGATAATTTTTTTCATTATTTACAAACTAGCATCTATTGATAATAATTTATTTACTTTTGTTTTTAGGGCTAATTATTGAAATTTGAATGTCAAATTCAAGAATTAATTAGTTTAAATATATATATATTTTTTACAATTTTAAAAATATTAAAAATATATTTTCGGTTTATCGATACTGAACCAAAAAGGCCGAATTAATTCGACAAAAAACCGTACCCAACTTTGAGAATTTACCAAAATTGATGTTGTTGTCCCTACAAATCATCATTTAGCACTCAAGCTTTCTTGAGTTTTCAATTTTCACACATTTAAATCCCATTCAATTACGGAAATCCAGTCAAAACTATACTCGATCAAGAATTCGAGGAGCAGACCAAATATATTTTACACACATCCACATGTACGTGTGCGTTTACTCGTAATATTTTTCTTCACCAAAAACACATAATGGGTTTAAGAACCTTAAAGCACAAGATCCACATTGAACTCAATTTACATAGGACGTGAAGCACGAAAAAACTGATCTATACGCATTCTTTTTTTTTTTCTTTTTCTTTTTTCGTCCTGTACTTTTTCATTTTTCAGTATCCGACAATAAACATTCCGCAAGTCTCATAAATATGCACGGAATTGCTGACATGGCATACGTTCGTCAAGCTAAAAAACTCTTATCCCCTACAAAATAGTCCCTGCAAACTTGAAGCCATTTTGACAAAACATGAAGTTTCTTTTTTCACAGAATCGAAGGAGCAGGACTTGTTTGATGCGTTGACTAAGAGTGGAAAGCCATGAACAAATTCTGCCTTCTAGCATGTTCCGGAATGAGGCGGTGGATAGTGTCGGCAGGTATACCGGAAAGCTCTGCGAGAAAACAATGAAGGCATATTTTTTAAGATGCTTTCAAGCATAAAATGGTAAGCTGAATGATCAAAGCATTTAATTAAACCGATTTCAGTTCATTAGATGAAAAAACGTATATTCTGTTTACAAGTTCAAATTTACCTTGAGGTTTGAAATTAAAGAGAGGAGGAAGCGGGCGACCATTTGGAAGTCGGGTGTTGGGATCCCTCAATTCATCAAAGAAAGGGTGAATGCATGCTTCCAACTGGGATGCACCCCCACAACAACATCAACACCAAAAAAAAAATCGTAAATTTACTTGATTACTTGCAGTTTCTGAATTGCGATTCAGTAGATGGAGGACGAAAGTTGAACTTACAGCTGTGCATCTGAGATTGGGTGAGTACTGGAAAAACCGACAAACCAGGTCCACTGCCTCTGGAGGTAGACGCTTCTGGAAAACCTGAAAGAAAAACAAAAATTACAATATTTGTAACCATGAGCAGAAGTTGTTTAAGGATATTCGTCGGACAGAAAAATAAATAAATAAAGAATGCCAAGGGAAGATGCGAAGGTAATGTACCTTGTGCCAAGGATGGGGCTTGATCTGTGGAAACTTGAACTCCGTATAGTTTGGATTCATGCATTTGATCTCTTCTCTCGTAGGTGTTCCTAAAACCTGTTATGAGGTCAATTAAAACCCGATAATAGCAAAACCCCTGTTAGAGTCCAAACAACACTAAATAATCGGAAAGGGCGACGCCAATGACTAACAGTCGCTAAACTTTTTCAGTTCTATAATTGTTTTATATGTAAAAGACTATTTACTATTTAATCATGAATATCGTAGCTCTCATGTAACTTGAGTTCGAGTGGTATTACCTTAATAATTTCAACAAGTTGATCAACTCCACTCTCTCCAGGAAACAACGGCTGTATAAAAAGAAATGAGAGATGTGTCAGAGTATTATGAAGGCGCAATGTATTGGGAACAGAAAACATTCAGATCATTGTTCAACCTGTCCGAGAAGTAATTCAGCCATTACACAACCACTCGACCATATATCAATTGCAGTTGTATATTCAGTCGCACCGAATATGAGTTCAGGAGCACGGTAATATCTCGAACATATATAGGATACATTGGGTTCCCCTTTCACCTAAGGAATGAATGAAATGCATGAGCAAAGACAAACTTTAATTAGTGATTCATGTTGCACAAAGACTTACCAAAACTTTCGCACTTCCGAAATCACAGAGTTTAAGCTGATGTGTGTGTGGATTCACCTGAAAGTAAATCAATATAACATCAGCTTCTTTAAATAAAAACAAGATGATTAGAGATCAAGAAAACACCACCAAGTAATTTAGTCTCGAGTCTACTGAAAGGAAAAAAGAAAGAGAAAAAAGAGTACAGTAATAACCAATATATATCATCTTATAGTTACACATAAATAAATCCGATAATTTAATTTAAAATCATAGACATGGTTAATAAAGTAAATTAATTCCCAATATCCTATCACCCAGAAATTATATATCTTTAAAGGACTACCTGAAAAGTAATTATGCTATTGTAATCAGTGATCAGCTAAAACATGAACATTACTGATTCGGAATTAAGAACCTCATCTTTAATAATAGAAATACTTACAAGTAAATTTTGAGGCTTGATGTCTCGGTGACAAATACCAATACAATTATGTATGTAGGCAAGTGCTCGGCATATCTGCACACAGGGAAAGGAGTTGTTATGAAAGAGATCTTCATAAGAAACTATTGGATGAGAGAAAAGAAACCTCTCAAATGCAAACACGGTGCAAGGAAAATATTGAAGGCTACGTGACAATCAACAAGTCAAAAGAATTAACATTCAGAAATTAATTTTAAGATCAAGAAAAACACACGCAAACAAAACTACTTGCCTGATAGGTATAGAGTTTGACATATATCAATGGCATTCGCTGGTTCATCCTGCTGTATTGTCGTGCAATACGATTAACAGTTTCTGGCACATAATCCAGGACAAGATTTAGGTATAGCTCTTCTTTCTCAGTTTTCGCGAAGAATGAATGCTTCAAAGCCACGATATTGGGATGGTCCAACATTTGCATAATCTGCAACTCCCTGTTTTTGTAGCGCTTGTCCTGAAGAACCTTCTTAATAGCAACTATTTCTCCAGTCTCTCTGCATTTTGCCTGTTAGAAACAGCTTGAATCACCACAGAAAGGACAAATAGCAATACGAACTTCTAAAACTAGGTAATGCCACATAACTTACTTGAAAGACAACTCCAAACGAACCAGTTCCAACAACATGTTCTGCTATGTAACTGACCACCTGTCAACACAAATAAAGCGGAAATTATTACCACTGGTCATTCTCACCATGTGAAGCAATACTTCTAAAAGAACTATTACCGACCTGCTTAGACTGACCATTTCGACCACCAATAGTGGTCCTTATGACGTGCCCTGTTTCAGCACCCACACCATCAATTATGTCGGGTTCACTATCCTGCATAAGAAAGGAAATCTCTGTTGCAATGTTTATCACGAGCAAGACTCAGAAACCACTATAAATTTTCAAGAATGAAGCTAGTATTAACTTCGACCACTTCAGAAGTGCAGAAGCTGCAAATAAACGTAGCATCTCCACGTATAAGCACTGAAAAATGATCTAAACTTACCCTATCATCATCAGTATCCACTCTGTCTCTCAATCTCATCTCAAGCATCTCCCTTCCCAGCCATTCAACAGAACTAGACGAGACCTTCAAGCCATTAGCCGATCTTGAACTCCCGGCTCCTCCATGTCCTAGTCCAGCAGATGCCATGAGTAAGGCTGATTGAGTATCAATAAGCTACTGTCTCCTCCAATTTTCAAGTATGTGGCATTCCATATCTTCAAAGCCAGTCTTTACCTAAATACACATGGAAAGTTATTAAGATAGTTTTGCTAAAAACCAAACTTCATTTGAATAAGAAAACTGGTCAATAGTCCTTAGTGTAGTCATCATGCCAAAAAAAGGCAAAATAATGCAATTTTTCAAGGTAAAAAACAAATTTGAATATCTTTCATGAAAACCCTTGTCTTGTTAGCAGGATGTAAAACACCATAAAAGATAGTGTGGTTAAGTTGGAAAACAGAGGGAACTAAAATATTATGATTCCTTAATGTAGTACAGAAAGATGTGTGTGTGTGTGTGTGTCTCTATGTGTAGGTATCTCAAATGAATGCGCAGTGTATATACAATTGAACTCTCTCTGACTCTCATTTATCATGTCTGTCACACTTTTCCAAATTAAAGTAAAACACTTCAGACTAGAACAAATATGACAGGAACCATCAAGTTTGTGGACAATAGTTTCTTTATCAAAAGAAATATCGCCAAACAAGTTCAGATCAACAGTGTTTACAACAAAGACCAGGACACGTATCCAAATGAGATTTTTACGAATACAGTACAAAATCTCACAAAGCAACAACGTACAAAAATTTCAACGAAAATAAGTACATATAACTCACAATCCTATGACCCAAGGATTAATGGCTCTTTTTGTTCCAGCGACCCACACTTTTTTATGTTTTTTTAGCTAAAGTTTCTGTGGTCAAGTATCAAGGTTATGTCACATAGCAATCTGCCAAGTCTCTTCAAAATGCAGTACAAACAGCATTACATGTTACGGAAGAACTCTACGTATAGCAAGAATAAGCCCACCAAATCGGGATTTTTCTGTTTGCGTTTAATAATAATACATATTTCACAATGTCCAGTTGCATCTCAGAAGCCAAAATGCTATGCTTGTTTTACTATCCTTTTTCACTTTCAATTGGACTATAGAAATCTCGAATTTCAGGAAATCAAGCTAATTGATATTGTCTAACATTCACATCTAAATATAGTAAGCTCTACAAATTACTAAGCCCTTTTCATTAGCAAGCTCAATCAAGCATAGCACACATACACTGACAACAGAAAAATAAGAGAAACAACGTTACCTACGTCCAACTTATTTTCACCTAGACTATACTTGATTTATGTTTCATGATCTGAACTATATTTAGAACCGAACAAGTAACCAACCCACACTTGAACAACCCATTATTCATTATAGTTCGTTACCTTTCCCCTTCATACATAATGGGCACTTAAATTTTCACTCTAATATTACGAGCAAGCTTTCTCAGACTCCATTACATAAACTCACCTTACGAGCTTTGTAAATATAACTACAAAATAAAACCCTTAGTTCTCGATAAAAGACCACGATATTACAGAAATAATTCACTCAGATTTTCCATTACTCTGGTCTCCTTCTTCGAGCTGTTACTCGCCAAATACAAAAACTCCAAAAACCATCACCATAAAGTTAAAACCTAATATCACATGTATCATACCCTAACTCTTACCCAATTTAATCAGATCTAACTCCAAAATTTGAAGCTACCACCAATTTCAGACAATAATCAAATACAAACAACAATAATCACAAAATCATAAAACTTCACCCAATCCAGTCTCAAATTTTAAATAGATAATTAAAAAAAATAAAAATACAGCACATGAAAATCGACTACTAACAGGAAGCAAACTCGCCGCCAATACGAAGCAGATCACACACATTTTTCTGCTCCTTCAACTCCAATCGATCACACCATCAATTAACACAAAAAATTAAGCATAAATTAACATAAATTAAACGCAGATGAACAATAAAGTAAGAGATTTTGAATTTTTTTTAAAAGGATGGATCATAAAACACAGAGCGTGAAGAATAATCGTACCTTTATTCTCTACTGCCTTTTCATCGTTTCACTTTTCCTCTCTCTCTCTCTCTCTCTCTCTCTCTCTCTCTCTCTAAATGTATGGGTGAAGAAAACTGTATGTATATGTGTGTGATTGAGAATAGGGAATTAAAGTGATACACAGTGTGTGTATATGTGTGTAACTGCGTGTTTTGGGGGGTTTCAAAACTTCTTCCCCACTGAGACTTGACTTTGAAAGTGACAGTCTTCTTTGTCCAAAATCAAATGTGAATATAAAAGGACAAATACACTTGTGTGTATCTATTCTTGTGTGATTTGTATCTATTCGGATGTCTATAAATTGCAATTTTTATTTTTTTTTAGAATATATATTTTTAATTTTAATTATTTTAAACATTATAATTTCTCATTTATTTTTATTTTTAACTTGTGTGTATAATAATTTATATTATGGGCCCCAAAACATTACAATAATACCAAGATGGTCAACCTCATTTTTTTTTTATTATCAACCTACCTTTCGGAACACAAAAATCGTTCAATATGGTTATTTTGTCCAGCGCGCGTCCACTTAATTCAAACTTTTTTCCGAAATCACCATTGTTTTTCATCCATTGATCTTAGTATTGTTGTGTGACAGTTTATGTAATCGATTATAGTCAATTAATAAATCAACTGTGTTTGTTTCTTTTATAGTCGGTTTATTTTTTTTAAAGTCTAATATACAGTTTATTATTTTAATCAACTATAGTCGATTAATAAATCAATTATGCAAGCAATGTAGTTAATTTACGTCTAGTTTAATCCAGAATTTTGCAAAAAAATATAAGGCGAGGTTATTACTAATTATTTCCAAATAGTGGGCATATATTAGTGCAATTTCAAAACACGAGTGGGGGCTTTTTCGCTAATTTTCCCTTTATATTATATGTGAATGAAGAAATGAAATATCCGAGTCCAATCCATTTTCTCTTCATTTTTTTCCTTTTCTTTAGAAAAGATACTTTTATGAATTTTGAAATTTCAATTTTCTTTTTCAAAAAAAATATATTTAAATATGTTTCGAAAGAGACGGCCTAGCGAATATAGAGTGAACGTAGTGTCATTTGATTCGAGTTATATCAAATAATATTCATACCAATTTGCACTTAGTAAAACACGTATGACGTGTGTATAAATGCGTATACAATTAAAAAAATTTATAACATATGTATATGACAATATTTATATAATAAAATTAAATGAGAATATACTATATAGCATTTGAAATAAATAAATAAATTAGGGGCAATAATGACATTATGCATAAGGATATGATATAATTGATAAGATCAATTTGGGCCCAAGAGCTACAATTTTATTCGTATTTGTTTGTATCTGAAAGCTACACAAGCCACGTGGCCCCCACCTTAGCACTCGGAGAAACACATGAAAGTAGGGGTGGTTTCGGTACGGTTGCCGAATATTTTGATCAATACCGTGTACCTACCGAATTATATGGTATTGAAAAATTCGATACCGTTACCGTACCAACAAGTGCGGTATACCGTTATTCGGTATACCGTTACTTTCGGTACGGTATATCGGTACATGGTAACTCTACCGTTAATTTTAATTTGTCACTTTGAAGACGATCTTTATAAAAACACAACACTTTAAAAAAGAACATTGGCTATTTATATGATCATATTCAATTTTTTAAAGCTCCTTGAATATTTGTCAAACTTCAACTTCACTGATTTAGCCACACCTTGCAAAATAAGATTACTAGAGTCATGATTTTTTTTTCAATCTCAATTTGCAGCAGTACTATTTCAGTGAAAACCAAATGGGATGTACGTTTTTTTTGTTGCACTAAAATTTAATGTTGTGTCATAATTTTTTTAAGCACTGTAATTCAATTTTTAAGTTTTGATCTATTTATTTTATGTAGTAATTTTAATTTTAGTTAATTACTAACCAATATAAAATAAATATATATTAATTAAATTGTAAATTTCAAATTTGCGGTACGGTACGGTATTACCATGGTACTGAAAATACAATACCGCTACCATACCGTATGATAGTGGTACGGTACCAATACCGTACCAAATGTAGTGGTTACCGAAGTTTCGGTAATTTTTCGGTATTGTTTGGTAGGTATACCGTGGTATTCGGTAAGCGGTAATTATTTTCCAGCCCTACATGAAAGTACTCGCAGTGTTATTTAATACAAGTTAACCTTTGTCAATATTTTTTAGGTCAAATTCGTTAAAGCTAACTTCAATGGAGAAACTAAATAAACTATCAAACTAAAAAACTGCCACTTTAATATTCTAAAATTAAAAAATCCGCCTCCAATGGAGGCATTAAAGTAAGAATTATTTTGATATTCAACCACTCTGACGTGCAAAAATACTCCCCGAAAAATAAGGTATCAAAAATATAACCACTCCATTAACCTATCACTATTTGACATGTGGCATTTAATAATATAATTATTCATATAATTAAAATTTGATAATCTATCTAGTACTTGTGGTTGGAGTGAATTTTTTTTCTTCTAAAAGTATCAAAGCATTATATCAAGTATCAAATGAATGTTTAATGCTCCATTTTGTACTGAATTAAACCTTGTTTATTTTTTTTTCAATCATGAAAAAGGAAAAATAAAATTTCTTTCAATGTTGGATAGGGATGACCATGGGGCGCCTCGCTAGCAAAATTTTACACCCGTACCCCCTTGTATCCGTTACGCGTTTGATTTTATTAAAGGGGTCTTAAGATATAGGTCCCTAGTGACAAAATTAATTAGAACTAAATGACAACCTCAACTAAACATTTGCTTCACATCATTTATTAAATTTATTCCAAAAATGCCCTTTCACTCATCTTTATTTTTTTAATTTTCACTCTACATTTTTTACGTTATTATAATATAAACAATTTTTTTTTCCTTATTTATAACATTTTTTTGAAACTTACGTTTTTTTTCCTTCTTCTTTTTTGTTAAATAATTCAGCATTTTTTTTCTTCTTTTTTGTTAAATAATTTAGCAAATTTTAAAAATACTATGGTATACTATGGTGTACTATGGTGTACTATCATTTTTACACTATTATTAAAACAAATTCTACAATATTATTAAAAACTACAAAACAAAACTCGTATATATATATATATATATATATATATATATATATATATATATATATATATATATATATATATATATATATATATATATATATATATATATATATATATATATGATTTGTTGTAATATTATAGTAGAGAGTGCACGGCGTGTCGTATAGTCTACTATGGTGTACTACCGAACCCTAGCAGCCAACAAACACACAATCCTCGCCAACCCTAGCCGTCAACGCAGCGGCCGTCAAACCCTAGCCGCCAACGTCTGCATCCGTCGCAACCGTAATCACCTACCAACTTTGGGAAAATCAGATTTACGATTTTGAACCCAAATCAAACAAGATCTCTTGAAGATCAAGATCAAATCTCCACAATAACCGCATCCCTCCGCCACAACCACCACAACCCCTCGCAGCCATCTCGACCACCACAGCCGCCGCCTTGACCACCACAGCCCGCCGCTGCCGCCTCAACCACCACAGCCCCGCCGCCGTCTTGACCACCACAACCCTTCGCCGCCATCTCGACCACCACAGCCCGCCGCCTCGACCACAATTGTCGCTGCCGACTCCTCCTCCACCACAGCCCCCGCCGTCGCCCTTTCCACCACAACCCCTGGCTTGGCTAATACCGAATTAATTAGCAAGAAATATGTATGGAGATGGAGAGGTGAGAGAGAGGGCGAGAAAAACAAAAAACGGGATTGAAAAAAAATGCACAGATCGTGTGAGAGATGGAGGAAGAGAGAGAACGTGAATATATGTAGGTTATATAATTTAGGGTATAAGGGCAAGATAGGGATAAAAAAAAATTTAGGGATGTGGCCCATATATTATTTGAAATTAAGGATTTAATTAAAAAAATGAATTTGAACTTGTCATTTAGTTCAAATTCGGTTTCGTTTGAGGGGCTCATAGCATATTAACCCTTTATTAAATCCACCCCATCCCATATAAAAGTCGCCCCATACCCGCCCCACTTCGGATCTGTAAGAAAATATAATTTTTTATATTAATAATTTATTTAATAAAAATATCTTTAAAAATTAGTATTTTATAGTAATAAAAATATATGAAACAGATTGGATACGAGACGGGTCAAGGTGCATATGTTCAAAACCCAGACACGCACTGTATTTGCTGCGGGTGAAATTATTAAAACATGTACCCGCGGCATTAACAAACGGAGTGGGGATTACCTAGACACGGCCATAGGCCGGTTCGGGCCGGTTCACGCCGGGTCGCGGTTCACTTTTTCCGGAACCGGCCTGTACTACACGCGGTTCGGCGGGCTGTGTCGGCCTGCCAGTTCCGGACCTATCCGGGCCGGCCTTGAAATTTATATATATATATTTGAAAATACTTTATGGATAAATAAATTAAAAGAATTAATTTTAAATAAGAAAAAAACAAAAGAAAATAAATAAAAAGGACTTCAACTTAATTTTATAGGAAAAAATGGGGTGTGAGCGTATTTATAGGAAAAAATGAGGGGGAAAAATTCAAAAAAGGGCAAATAACGGCCGGTTCAGCTTTTTTTTTAGCTTTTTTTTAATTTTTTTTTTATAAAATAGGGTGAACCGCCAGACCGACCCGACGGTTCACCTATATCTGTAATCAGGCCCGTCCCGAGGACGACGAACCGATCAACGGTTTGGGCCGGTTCGTCAACGAGCCCATTCTGGGCAAAAAATCGGCCCATGGTCGTGTCTAGGATTACCCGGTAAATCCGTGTGGGCATCCGATGGTAAGGGTTAAATTGTCATCCCTTACGTTGGAATGGTTTTGTGAGTGGGAACCACCTCAATTATGGTGGGGCCCAATCGCTTATAATCTATGCCATGGTCAATTAACATGGCCCATGGGTGCTAGAGTTCCATCAAGACCAAACGAGCCTCGGTCCTAGGTGTGGACTAAAAATATTTTTGTCCAAGTATCATAATAATTGTGTACACATTATTTGATTATGTAATAACTAGTAAATTTAGAAGGGATTAGTGTACCTCTTTATCATGTCTTGTGCATTCTTCATTAGTTCCTTAAATTGTGAGGGTAACTGATTGTTGTTCCTAGATCCAAGTCTCCATTCCTGCTGAACTGGCAAATTAAGTGAGAATCATACCCAATTTGAGATGGAGGGTACCCCATATAGAGCCTCAAAAGGGATTCTGTCTATCGCAGAATGGTCCGTGATGGAAGCTATAAACTCGATTGTTTTGGCATATGACCACACATACACCTTAGATAAGTTTCTAAGTATCGCTTAACCCTCTCGATATGTCCATCTGTTGTTGCACACCTAATAACTTCATCAGATCTTTCCAAAACACACTAGTGACGACAGTGTCCCTCTCATAAACTATATATGTAGGGAATCATGGAGTTTATAGAATTTATCTATGAACTTAAGTGCCAATGTGGAAAATGATATTGGGTTGACTTAAGGCCACAAAGTGTTCATACTTTGTCAATATGTCACCCACCACCACTTGATTTTAGAGTGCGTTTGGATGGAGGGATTTGGAGGTGGATTCCATTTGAGGAAGGAATTTGAAATGGCTTCAAATTTGAAGTCATTTGAAATCCACACCAATTGCTCCAAAAACAACTAAAAAGGAGGATTGTGGATTTGAAATTCATCCTCAAATCCCTCAATCCAAACAAGTCCGAGGTATTTGTTATTATGGATTTGAAATCCCTCCTCGAAATCTCTCCATCCAAATGGACCCTTAAAGTTTCGCAATTTCACAATAAAATCCATAGTTATGTAAGACTAAACATAGTTGAGAACAGGAAGTGGTTGTAAGAATATGGACTCTTCGTAATCTCATGTTTGCCAATCTTGCAAACATGACATTGTTTGATAAATTCCCGACGATAACCCCTTCGGCAGCTGCTCCAATGGATTCAGAGCTTCCGCCAGAAGTTCCCTCTATTCGTTATTGTACTGGTTGTTGGCTTATCTCACAGTACTCTTGACGCTAATTTTGAGTTGATCCAGTGAATTTTCATACATTTTAACAATTTGTATAACTTAAGCCATAGACATAGGTCTCAATACGTTAACGAAACTCTTGAGCTCATCTTACAATCCCCGGTAAGAATGCTTTTACGTAGTATTCCTGAGTCGGTTTATGGAATTGCTCGACCACACCATCACATTCCTCTATAAATCTTTCTTACACCATGTTAGTAAAGACATTCCATCCCGCAAACTCCCTTCTCTCAACATAGTCCGCGTACCAGTATTTTGCCTCGTCATCCATATGCGTAAATGCCGTCAACACTCTCTCAACATCCGACGTTGGATGCAATAAAAAATACCTTTGACACTTTCTCAGTGTTTATGTTGAACAACTTTCTTCTCACAACTCTTCTTTGTTTTAATTAAATAGCTAGCCCCGACTGTCTCAACCGATGTCGTTCCACTTTTCCCCCAAATTCCATGATCTTGCCCTAATTCATCAGATATTATTTATCTACAATAATTTGCAACTCAATTCTAATTTACTTGTTTCCCTTTAGTTTCCATCAATTTCCAAGATAATTTTTCAATCCCACGAGAACCCAGTCGACCTAGAGGAGGTCCAATACACAAACCCTAACGAGATAAAATCCCGTTTTTCCACAACCGCGCCTCAAAAAGTTAGTGCACTAACCAAACATCAAACAAGATAGAACCGAATTAAAGTAACAAATAATGTGAACTCAATTGCCCAATCGAATATAAGATTGTTGATTTGCCTATAACAGTCGAAATGTACCTTAAAACTGTACAGACGAAATGTACGTTAAGCGATAATTGCAACTATAAAGAACTATAAAAAAAAATACAAAAAAAAAATAAAATAAACAATCAAGGAAAATATTTTTTCAATTAGACAGTTAGCACAACAGAGAGATGAATCTACATAACAACAACAATACAGAAATCGAAATCTGGCACGCAAACATTGGTGCAGGGGAAAAATATCGAAGATTAGACACTAATTAACTCCAAGTCAAAAAGAATGACATTCAGAAATTAATTATGCAATCGAGAAAAATCACACGTAAACGAAAAATACTCGCCCCATAGGTATATAATGATTCAAGAATCAAGATTCAGGCATACTCAAGTAGTAATGATAATAATAATAATGTACGAACGACCATCGAGTAAGACGATGTAACAAGTAGGTTATTGTTTGTTTCTAAATTAAAAAACAAACTCAATTCTTGTCCAAGAAAATATATAATAGCTTTTACGAATAAAGCACCTCTCCATTATTCTTGAGAAACCAGAAAAACTCGAAAATATCGGCATGATTATACTCTCCAAAAACTGCACAATTTAGCAACCACGACGAAAAAAACCGTTCCTAGATAGCAAATCACCACTCCACCAATTATTTATGCAGAAAATGCCAAGAATTCTCAAACGAATGCAGGTGCAAGAAAATCGAGAATAAAATTCAAACAAAGTGCAGTTACTGAAGAATCGTGTCTCCGATAATCGTATGCCATTTGTTGGTTCATCCTACTGTATTGCCGTGCAAAATACAATATGATTAACACACGATTTACGGAATATATCCCAGACCAATATTTAGGCATAGCTTTTATAGCTTTCGACCGAGAAAAGACATAACACGCTTACATTAACTACAATTACGTACGCTAATGCGAATGCAAATGCAAATGCAAATGCAAATGCAAATGCTAATTATCCGCTAAAAACCAATGCAAATAACTACTTTCCACCATTATTAATGCAAATAATTCTTAAATGAATGCCAGTGCAAGAAAAATCGAGACAAAAAAAAAATTCGAACCAAGGGATCGTTATCTCATATGGGGACGCTGCTGACTAGACGAGCTCCGACTCTATCGAGCTGTTTGACCATGGTCAACGCCTTCAAATTCCCTTCCTTCATAAACGCCTCCACCATTCTCTCACCGATTACCCTCCCCTTCTCCTCACTGTCGGTCACCGCCACTGCGGTGGGGCCCGCCCCACTAATGGTGCACCCGAACGCCCCAGCTGCGATCGCCGCCTTCTTGACGGCATCCATGCCCGGAATCAGTGGGGCCCGCCTCGGCTCCACTATCTTATCGGACGAGAGGGCTTTTCCGAACCCGATGAGGTCGCCTTGCAAAACGGACGCAACTAGAGCTCCCGCTTGGCTGGAATTCCAGACGTGGTGCGACATTGTGATTTCGGTCGGGAGCGCCGCCCTCATTTTCTTGGTCGGGGCTTCGAATTCCGGGTTTACGAGAACGAAGAAGAGGTTGTTTTCGGAGGGGAATTTGAGCGGCATTAGTTCGAGAGGATCGTAGCTGCGGATCAGGATGAAGCCTCCCATTATAGATGGGGCTATATTGTCGGCGTGGTAGCCGGAGACCTTGGACTCCGACTCCAGGCCGGCGATGACGAGATCGGATTTGGAGAGGGGGGATCCGAAGAGCTCGTTGACGGCGACGGCGGCGGCGGCGGCGCTGGCGGCGCTGGAGCCGAGGCCGCTGCCGAGGGGGAGGCCTTTCTCGAGGGAGAGGGAGAGGCCGACGGATCGGATACTGAGCATCTTCATGACGGCGATGGCGGCGATGCCGGCGCAGTTCCAGAGGGGGTTTTTGCTGAGCTTGGAGCCGGCGCCGGAGATGTGGGAGATGGAGATCTCGCCGGGGTGGACGTTGGGGTCGATTTGGAGGTTGACGTAGTCGCCGATGCCGTCGACGGCGCAGCCGAGGAAGTCGAAGCCTGGTCCGAGATTGGCTACGGTGGCGGGGGCGAAGGTTCTGACGGAGGAGAAGAGTGGTTGGGGCTCGGCGGCGGCGGCGGCAGCGGATTTGGAATAAGAGGACGACGATGGTAGTGCGAAAGTCGATGGGTTGAATCTCAAGTTGGTGTGAGATTTTGGTGATGATACAAAGGTGGTGGTGGTGGTGGTGGCGGCGGCGGTGGTGAGGTTCAACTGAGAGCAGCAAATGGCGGCCATTGTGCACGAGAGGTGGCGGCGGAGGACAAATCCCACACTTTTTTCTGTGCTTTATTCTCTCTCTCTACTTTTTCACCATTTTACAGTGAAAGTTTTTCGTTTCAATTTTTTTCTTTTTGAAATATTTTATTTACATTAAATTAGAATTAAATAAAAAATAAGATTTAACAACCAAAAACAATTATTTAATTTCATTTGCGAATATGACAGACTGACTACCTACTGCACATTATGTATTGGATACAAATTAAAAAAGAAGGTAAATTAGATCACCCACGATGTATGGCTAAATTACAAAAAAATCTCTCGTAATTGGGTAATTACAGTCAACCCTCCTTTTAAATAGTTTTACATAAAATTCATGTAATTCGATTATTTATCGAATCAAATCGTATATTCAAGTCGGTAAACAGTACAAAATGTTGGCGTATTCGGTTCGATTATACCGATTTAACATGCGTAAATTTAAATTTACATATGGAGAGATATTTTCGTAGAGATGTTTTCGTAAGATAATACATAGGTGATGAGGGTAGCTGTAATTACCAAACTACCCAAACATGAGAGAATTTTTCGTAATTTGACCATAACTCAGGGGTGACAGTAATTTGCCCATTAAATTAATTTTAGAGGTCGGAAAACATATTTTAATAGCTTATGGGTTGAAAAGTGTATAACACAGTTGAATTCTTTTTAGGTCGCCAATATTCGAAATCTTAAAATTTCCGAGAGGAAGACCTTACTAAGATGAAAAAATAACCAAGCTTACAAAAAGAAAGACTTGAATTTACTAATAAAGCCATTATCAAAACATATTCTCATTTCAATATATTTCCCCTAACTTCATTGGTGCAAATACCACAAAATTGCAAAAAAGAAAAAAATAAATAACATTATGAGCAGAAATAATGGGGGAGCGGAAAGAAAGAGGGATGAAGGAATAACTGCAGTAAGGGTATAACAGCCTTTTAACAATTCACTTTGGTGAAAAATTAGATTTGGTTTTTCCCTAAGCAATTTGTGAGATTCCGAACAACGCGCCTTATTTTTACGAACATAAATGTTGAAACTGTCTGCAAAAATTTCCCGAAAATTCGTAAAAGCAAATATTAAATGACCTGAACAAATATTCACCAACCTCAGTTATCATTCTATATATAACAGTTAGTATCAAACTATCAATCATGTAAAAAGGAAACCTTACAAATCTCTCTCTCGAACAAACTCGATTGCAGTTAAACCTGATACTACACACCATTCCATATCATCTGTATCGATAGTTATCGTCCGTCTAACAAGTTATATATATATCTCGATTTTTAGCAGATAATCAATCGACGGCAAGAACTGCAAGTTTAAAGTCTTGCCACCGAGTAGTATAATAGGGACACCGATGAAAATGGTGGTGTTATGTAATTAAAAACTATTTATCCATTTTCTTAATTAATTTCCTGACCTTTTCGACTCAAGAACATATTCAAGTGCCTCGATTTTCCAAGCAAGCTTTGTCTGTCTTCATCAACCCTGCTCGCATTTCTATCAATCAATCAATCAAGAGAGAGAGCGCTCCGGCCACCGTCAATATGGTATTTGACCAAAATATTGCACTGCACGATTACCCAAATGAGATCACAATTCAGAACATTGTGTTTGTGAAAATTGAATATCGCACTTCGAGTGGTTTTCGAAATTAAATAGTTATAAGTTGATATTCTGGAATCCAAATTGAAGTTCGAACCCGAAGGACAAAGGTATCAGAAGTAAACGATATTGAAGTGTTTACCATATACAGCAAGACTAAGAGCCGGAACTGGACTTTTGGACCCACACTCGTTTCTGCAAATGTACAACAAAATAATTAACAAAAAAGGTACCATCTAAAAGAAGGATAATGAAAATTGCAGATTCTAAATGGGAAGCGTACCTCATTGGAGCCATAACCAGAACCACCTCCTCGCTTCGAGAATTTGGCATCCACAACTGAAGAGCCATCTGTATCTTTCATGTTATAAGCCGAACCACGACGCCCCCCGTGCCTATAAGAACCTATAGTAACTCATACACAATCAGTATGCTAAGGCCGTTTGGTTGCCAAGATAGGACTAGTCAATGATAAGATTAAACAATCTAACGAAAACCCGATTTTGTTTTATTGGACCCCGGAAGGGCCAACAATAAAACTCCCTAAAAGGCATGATAAGGCGGGATAACATAATATTTCCTGGTCGACCTGGGAAATTATTGGGTTTACCAAACATCAATCAAAGTCCAATTATATAGTTAATCATGGCTAATCTCCCTAACCGAGCGAGGCCCAAGTTCGCAGGTTAATCACATCTCTCGTCCCTGTATAAAATACATAAGCAAAACTTCTCACCATTGTCAACAGAAGAATGGCTGCCACGACCGCTTCCAACGTACCTTTGATCACCACCACGGACAGACAGCATCTCGATTTTTAAGTCTGCATGAGTTCCGATAAAGTCATACGATTAATATAAAACTTGGACTCGAGCATTAGCCAATAAAATTACTAATTTCCACGAAGAGGTAAGGAATATGAAACTAATTATTTTTAGAAAAGTGACGCAATCTATTATCCTATCGAAAACCAAGATAAGTTATTGTCAATTGACCTTCTGCAGAATCCAACGTTTGTGAGTTCTGGGAAGCAGATGATGATAACGAGTCATCACTTGCATGTGATCCATCTGAACGCCGAAGAGGAGTCCACACACCACGATCAGGCTTCTTTGTTCGCCTTTCCTGCTTTTCCGAAATGACTACTTTGTCCTCAAGAAAACCATCTCTTTCTTTCAGAAATGACTGCACACTTGGAGGTCGAGGAGGTCTTTTGTCCCTGTCTTGATTTGAACTCTGGGTTCGCAATTCTTGAGACCCGACTGGTGGTTGATTTTGACGAGTATCTTTGTTGAGAAGAATGGTCCTGATTATCCTTCCACCAGTTTCACGTCTCTGATTCTGTCTGAAAGGAGCTGAACTATGTAGATTTTTGGCAGGACTTGCAGCATTCTGCTGCAGTGATGAAGCACCAGAAACCTATAGAATTGGGTAAAACAGAAATCAAGTTTTTCTTTTCCCCCTTTTTCACTCAATATAACCTACAAATTTAATAGCTCAGTAACAAAAATCATAACCATAGCACATTCAAATGGATTTAGTCTCATAACAATGTATTTGGTCGTGCATGAGACAATGCAGGAGTCTATACTCAAGATCCTTCGAAGTTGTGCAGAATCAGCAACCGCCGAAAGAGATTTTCCCCATTGGAGATGATTTTCAAGTTTCTGCTGAACCTTACTAGTGTATAGCTGAACTTAATAAAGGGTATCTAAGCAAATTCTGCTATATTGGCCAGTAGAGGCTATGTATGCAGTACTTCCTATTATTTGATAGGCCCAGCACATGCTTCACACAAAATGCCAGCTACTTGTTTCTCTATTATCTGCCAGAACGTTCTACAAACAGTATGCAAGTTCTTAACAGTAATCAACTTAGTTCCACCGATTATGCTCACAGGGTTCTCCTCAAAGGACAATATACTGTTTTTATGAAACACAAGTTTCTTCTAATCATACACGCCTTCTCACCCAAAGGGCATGACGTTTTTGCTAATTTAGTCAGCCATGCAGTTTGAAAAGCCAGTAAGATCTCAAAGAGGAACTTGAGATGACTATATCATTCTTAAAGGTGGATAATCTGTAAATTAAAAAACCTCAAATGTGAGTTACCTCTATAGCTAGACAAATTCAGAAGCAGAAATATTTGTCTGACATGCTAAAACAAAAAAAGTGTTAAACCAGGGGAAAAAAAACAATTATCTAGTAATATATGGATGGCCACTAAACTCGTGTATTCTTCTTGTCAAACAAAGAGGAATCCAAATTGTCTTAGAGATGGAAATGATTTATTTCCTCGAGTTAAAAAACTGATTCAAGCAAAAATAGCTCCCATCGTGTGCTCCAAGGATGACTAGAACAGGTGAAATGTCCCTTAAAAATGTTGCAAACAGATAAACATCCAATTAAGTTGCGATGAACAGCTGCGGATCAAACAGAAACTTAAGGGTTGAAGCTGCTTAAAGTTGCACATTAAATGTCAAGTTTGATGTACTATTTAATAGAGTCCAGAGATGAGGTCACCTAAGTGGTTGATGATTGCAATTTCTAAAGCTTCAACGTACAACATTTACGGAATTGAATACATATGGAGCTACTAACATAGTTATGATAGCAACAGAACTATAATTGGCTTACATTAGAAATTTCTTTTTCATTTCCTTTCAGGAGCAGGATTTTCTTCTTCCCAATCCCAGAGGATCCCGGTTCTCCTATAACAAAACAAATAGCATCACATAAAAGACTTGAGAGTTAAGAGATAAAAAAACCACAACGGCAACATTCTTAAAGAGGGATATCAACCATTCTCAATCTGACAAACTTAGGTAACTGACAAAAGGATAGCTTGGTGTCCTTACAGCTTAAACCTAAATTAGTTTTATGGCGAAATCAAAAATTTGCATGAGCTTGAAAAAACAGCTAGACAGTTCTAAAAACCATCTCGAAATAGGTGAAGATGCAAATCAAAAATCTATGACTAGAATTTCTAGGTCCTAAGAATCTGAGATACATATACAAGTACATAGTATCACGAAAAGATAAATCAGCTAGTTGATTTACAACAAAACAATGTAAAAAACAAACTGTCTGGTTTTGCGTCCAATTCAGCAGGTTATCAGCACCTTATTGCATTAAATTCACGCTTCATTGATCTTTTCCCCATTTCCTAATTACTTCTATACATAATCTGTCTGACCTTGATTATTTAGTTCTCTACTTCACATAATCCCTCAAAATAGAAAAAAACAAACTGCAACAAAAAGCATGTAACCAAGAGTATCAGAGTCCCAATGGCCACAATTCCATAACGATGATTATGAGATTTTCTTGCAAAGAGCTACAAGGAAATCACTGAGAGTTCATCAAGATAATGAAGTACTCCCAATACATTAGCCGCAACATTCTCTTAAAAACTATATACCAAACAACTGTTGCTTGACCTTACAATTGCAGACACTTATGAAGAACTACAAATAAGAATGCTGAGGGGAACATATAAATTATCTCCGATTAAAATAAGTTCCCACACTTAACCTTACCACTTTCCCCTTCCAACGGATCAGTTCCAGAAACAGCTGCTAAATTGGCAGACTTCAGCTGTTGATCATCTTGTTTAGGAACCAATAAATATGGCGTCTTATCCTTGCTACCTACACCTTTGGAGCCGTCTCTTACAACATACTGCGCAAAGTACAGTTAAGAGACAAATGAATTTGTGAAAATGATCAGTCTAGTAAAGCATTGAAACTCACTTATTATTCTGATTTATCTCAGTACATGCAGATACATATGTAACATACTCAAATATATGAAACAAGATATTAGAGAAAGCTGGTCGGTTTATTTAGGAAATATCAAGTTCATTAAACAGTTCCACAAACAAGTCACACCCAACAATTTAGATGCAACAAGTGGATAGGAGAAATCAGAAACAGCCGAATATAGTGAACTAAATTGTTTAAAGTACACACAAATAATCCAGTTATTAAAACTGACAGATCAATCAGCATTGAGCTTCATTCATTGCTGACGATTGTTTATAGGCATATAAGATACACTCAACACAAACATCAGCAGTAGATGCTGGACAACAGCAATTCTAAACCAAGATATAAATGCTATTGTTCAGCAATCATATAGAGTAAAGGGTTCAGCAGGGAAATATAAAAAGATAAAGGCACATCATGCAGTACGAAACGTCATTGATTGCATCTTCTTCATGGGTGAAATAAGAAGTCGTTTCAGAAATTTTATTTAGCTTTCCTACACATCCCATGTCTTGGCGTTCCCTCAAGTTCTTCTATAACTAGCAAGTGCCAAATGCAATTTTTTCTTATTAAATGAATGAATACATGGCAAATTTTGAGACATGAAACAGATGCACGCAGCTTGAAGAAGTTGGAAATTCAAAAAAAGAATACTGAAAAACCATTAACCATGGTGGTAGAAGTCCGCCTCTTTCCTGAGCCTCTTTTGGAAGAACCTGAGATAGGACTCCTGGATGATATTCCAGTGACTCCTCTTGTTGACTTTCCATTCAATACGGTTCTCTGTCAAAAGTTACGAAGAAAATAGGGGACTGTGTTAGAACTTACTCAAAGAGTTCCACAACAGGAGAAAAAAGAATTAGGTGGTCCCACTAAAATGATTTGTGTCCCATATTTTCTGGTGATATAATGGATTAGAACACCAACAAAAATCCCAGCCGAACTGCCGGTTTCCCACATTTTGTTGGCGACTTTAAGAAGTTATAATCCAAGAAGATAGCATTTGCAGAAGAAATGGATTTATGATCAAAAGAACCACCAGAAAATGGGAACTTTCATTGATAAAACCATAAATACAAGCATAGAGATTTACAACATGTTCTTTTTATCCCTTCATAATCATCCCCATTTCATCTCAATAACTAAAATCCCTTACCTAGAAAAAGGTCAATACCAATCATGAACCTATCATAAAGCCTGGAATCACAACCAGAGACTCCTTGCAGCTATAGTTGGTACCGAAAATCACAATGACAATCATTCACCTTTTTGTCTACTATAACATAGAAAATGATCTTATAACTCTGGGCAACCTTATTTCGGAAAGGTTAACAGACTAAATTGCCAACGGAGCAAGCAAAAAAGAATGCGATAATTTGAAGGATCCTACCAAGAATCATTCTTATATAGAAATAATACATTTATTTTCAAATAACAGTTCTGCTCTGACATATCTTAAGTGGAAAATTAAAAGGACCAGTTTAAGTAAGCAAAATGATAGGATTTCCTACCCGAGCTCCACCTTTTGCAGCTCTTTGCTGACGAACATATTCCATTAAAGGAGTAACTACTGGAGGAACCTTTGGAGCACCTAAAAGAAAATGAGAACTCATTTCAGCTAAAAGAATGAAAATGCTACACATACATACTTCTGTATTTCGATTGTATAACTTCATTAAATCAATTGGTATCTTAGATACTAAGTAGGCACGAGTGTAAAAATATTCAAGACTGACCTACTCGTGCAGCTTCTTTTCTCTCCAACTGTATCTCTGCACTGGGCAGATTCTCCACGGGCTTTGCAAGTAATTCAAGGAACTCCAGATATTCAGGATCTAGACTTGTCAACAAATGAACAAGAACTGAAGTCAGTATATGATAGCATCCAAGCCATTTGCAATCAGCAAACGAGAAAATGAAAAATTCACCTTTCAATATAGTCCCTTCACGACCATCTTTCTTAGACCATTGTTTTGGAATACGCTGTGAAGGAGCATACTCAACAATTGCTTTGAATTGAGCCCCTGGAAATATAAAGTAGAAGCAAGTATCCAGACAATTAAAAAAACTAATCATAGAATATCTTAAATGTGACAGGAAGTTACAAACAAAATCGAGCTTGCTTCATCAAACCAGGAAGCATGAAAAATTGGCCATCTTTGCAAATGATGTAAGGATAGTAAAAGCCCAAAATCCCAAAAACCCAGATAGCAAAATATACAATGCTTTCGGCATAAGGATATAACCAAGTCACCTTGCCAATTGTTTCAATTACGCTCCTGAACATTACCTTTCTCATTGACGAAGACATGGCCATTAAAAAACTCAGCAAACTCGATTACATCTTCTGGCCTATTAAAGTTGATGTAAGCTCTAGAATGCGTTAAATGCTTCTGGCTGCAAAGATGAACATAAAGTTTCAGAGTGTGAATAACCTTGACATTTCATATACTTCAGTCGAGGAAAAAAGAAATTGGGGGAAGAAATATGGAATAAAGATTAACATTCAGACTAATAAGCTCTTTCGAATATATATTAATTTTTAAAAAAGAACCAAATCAACAATAATGTGAAAGTACTTATGGCTGAAGACCCCAATATTTTAATTAAAAAGTGCTTAATATTCTATAATCGGGAAACATTTCCATGTCAGAAATAGGAAAATGAAAAAGAAAAAAAAAAGTATTTTCTTATGTCATACACATCAACACATCATCCATCACCTTCCTTGCACCTCGTATGGCATATTTACGAACTCTAATCAAATGGCACTACAAAATGAGAAAGGGGATTCACAAACGCGTATACGAAAATATGGCATATTTAAGAACTCTAATAAAATGGCACTAAAAAATGAGAAAGGGGATTCACAAACATGTACGAAAAGATAACAAAAGAAAATCTTGAGCATGTTGGACTCAATCACATAAAACGTCCAGTGCTTGTTAAAAAATAAATATGAAGAAGCAAGACTTTGATGCAACACGTGTCCACCAAACCGAAAGATAAGCGGGTGCCAAAAATGGCAGCAAGCGTAAAAAAAAAAAAAAAAAAAAAAAACAGCTATGAGTTTTTTCCACCCAACTCTTTTTGTCCTCATATCCCAGCTGTCATACATTCACTGCTTGCCGCTACGCATTTATTCATCCATCCCACATTTTCCAATAAATTATATGCCACGTAAAATACTTAAAACATAAAAGTATCCATATTCTTCTACGTCTCCAAACAAATAGTAGGGATTTCATTTTCAATGGTCCCACAGGATTCAACCGGCACGCTAAACCCACTCATACATGTGTGCAACAATATCACAACGGATAACCTCATAGTTGCAGTGTTATTCTGATACCAAGCCTAAAGTTTATGCCACCGTGATAAAGTGTGAGATGAAGACAAACTTCTTTCATTAGCTCCAAAGATTTTGTGAGAACTAACAAATGAAAAATCAGTGACAAAACCAACTAACAATGTCATGATCTTAGTTGACTGACAATCCAAACCACCAAACTGAGAAACATAAATCTACCTGATCATAGTATTAAGAACCATGATCGTTTGCCGGCATTAAAGAAACAAATACATGTGTGAAACTTGCATGCCAACCCCAAACCAAACCCCTTAAATCCTTAACTTCCTAAAACTAAAGAAACATCACGCAATCAATCAAATGCATAGAACCTTGCCAGGAAACACAACCAAAAAAATATATATAAAACCAAAACTAAGATAAGCTTTCACACTAACATACACATTTTGCACGAATAATTTGACAAGAGAGAAATAAAATCTTGAAATAAATAAACAAAAACGAAAAACTTCAGTAACATCCAAGGTGAATTAAAAAAAATAAAAAAAAAAATAAATAAAAGAAGATAAAACCACACCTGGGATTTCCAGGGCGAAAGGCGATGCAATGGTAGCGGCCGGAAAATCGAGAATCAACATGCTCGGCCAGGTTTGACTGAGAAATTGTTGGGGGCAAGTGCCGCAGCACCACCTTCGTTCGATCTAACGGGCCCTTCATGCCAAACAAAAAACCCTAACACCGATTCTACAGTTAACAGCTATGAAAAAATACTTTTCAATTAACTTCAATTCCAGCCCAAATACCCCTCGAATCCCCGGGAATTACATCTTCCACACGCGGTTTGCAGCATCCAGCGGCGATTTTGTTTCTCAAAAGCCCTAATTATGAAATTCGAATTTCCGAATGGCCATGCAGAAAAGGGTAGAGAGAGAGAAAAAAAAGTCGGAAGAGGAAATTTAGAGAGAGAATTTATGAATTGGGGAGAGAGTGACGAAATAGGATTTTGTGCGCCTGTGTAAGCAAACATACTGTGATACACAATATATATATATTTTTTTTTTTTTTTTAGAGAAAAAAAGGAAAAATAAATAAGCCAAATCTCATAAATGGTCCCTCGTCTTCATATTTAGTCCCACTTTACTCCCTAATATCTCAATTGTCTCTTTTTCATCCTTCATTTCTATAATCAATCTCATTATCACCCCTTGGTGTATAAGACTGTTGACTTTAACTTTAACCGAATCTTTTTAAAATGAATGAATATTCCATTTTTAGAATTATTTTTTTATAAATTATGAGTTTTTTCGATAAATAATAAAGTTGTAATTTAAAAATAATATTTGCAACTATTAAAACATTAAATGGATCATTAAATTTTAATTTAATGCTCGTTTTATTATATTGATACTCACTGACTCCAACCGCAAGCATTAAATGGATTATCAAAATTTAAATATAAACGTAAATATATTTAAATCTGACATGTGCCAATTCATGATAGGTTTTTTAGGTACTTAATATTTTGATACTTCTTTTTTCATGATGCATTTTTGCATCTCCGAAAGTTGAATATCAAAATAACTACCAATTTAATTCCTCCACTAGAGATGAAATTTTAAGTTTTGGAGCATAGAATAGAAGTTATACCATTTAATTTCTCATTTAATTTCTCCATTGGAGTTGCTCTAAAATTACTATTTTTACGAAATAATATTAATTTATATTAATATAAAACGAATCATTTATTTTGTAAATATATGAGTTGAATTAGAAACGTATTTAAATAATTATAATATGTCATTTAAATATATTCTCTATCAAAAATTTAGTTATATACTTTATCATCTTATGTTAATATTAAAAAAACTAATTCAATTATATATCTTTTTCTAGTTATTATTAATTTACTTAAAGTTTATTAAAAATAATTATAAAAATATAATATTCTATCAAATAAATAAAAGATTATGTTAAAGTTAACTAAAGTATACAACAAAGAACTACAGTTAAACCTCTATAAATTAATACAATTGGGACCATCAAAATTTCATTAATTTAGCGAAATATTAACTTATCGATAAATTAATAATTATTAATTTATACATTAATTAATAACTTATTAATTTATTGAGATTACTTTTATTATTATTTTCAATAAATACATTTTTTTTTTAAATTTACGTTTATATTATTCATTGTACCATTAGTTCAATGCACTATAAAGCTCGTTTCACCAATGGAAGCTCTTAAAGCAGCAGTAGTATATAACGATTTTATGTTGAGTTATGAGAAAACTATACCGAAAGTTCTAACCATGCTAAGAAAAGTGAGGGACAAGATTGATGCTAATTTGAACTTCAATGAGAAAGAAGCGACAATTAAATTATATTGTATTAAGCCTTCGTAGATCTATAAAATATGTATTGGTACCATGTAATTTAAGAATTATTTTTATGCATTATTAATTTATATATTATATGGGGCTTCTTAAAATTTTCGAATTTATATTATCTTATAAATTTAGCGAATTATTAATTTAGCACGTTGTCCCCGAGTCGGGACCGGGAAAATTTATTATTTAAGCGAGGTTATTAATTTATCGGGTATTAATTTATCGAGGTTCTACTGTATATTGAGATAGATTATAGAATTGAAGGGTGATAACGAGACAATTGGAACATGAAGGACTAAATTGAAACTAATTACTAAGATGAGGGACTATTAGTGAATAAATAAAATAGATGGGAGCGCGTGTGTTCAATGACGTGTTTCCTCATTTTTTTTCCCATTTCACAGATTTAGTACACAATTAAGACGACTATTACGAAAATCTCAATAAAAAGTTTGTTTGAACAAAAAAACCCAGCTTCAATTTATTAAATAATATTTTTACGCCCATCAAAAAAATCTATTTCACAGATTTAGTACCCAAAATTACATATTTTGCCCCCAAGGCCTAATTGGGCTTAATTGATGCCTTAAAAGTTAAATCCATGACACTAATCCCAAGTATTAGTAATCCATCTTTTTTGCAATTTAATTTCAAATAATATTATTAAGATTCTATGCAAAAAAATTTATTTGAGTTGACTTGAGTATTCAAAAAAATCATAATGGTTACCTAACTAATTTCAAATAGATTACCAAGATTCAATGCCAAATTATGCAATTGTTTAATTTTAGTTGACTCCATCGTCACCACGTAATAATATTTTTTTCATTATTTTTATTTATTATTCATATTATAAAATATCAAAATCTTATGTGAAAAATATTTAGATAATTATTTATGGTTTTTTTCTTAAAGATTAATATGTTTTTGACCTAATTTTGAAGTCATTTTCATTTACCCAAAGTGTCAATAGTATACCCTAATTTTTTTTCTTGATATATCATCCATATTTCATCAATACTATAATAAAAAAAATATATTATATTGTCAAATTGGAGAAATTGCAGCTTAAATTGTGCATTATAACAACTTGTCAAAATTATTTGGCTAACTAATAATAATTAATATTCAATAAAATGTGACCTCCTTATAATAATGGGTTTTAAATAAAAAAAGATATGTAACAACAATTATTAATATTGCTTGAATTAATTTAATGAAAAAAATCAAATACTAATTCTTGAAAATGCAACAAAAAGTGGACCGAAATGATTATTTATACTATACTTCTTTTTTTATTCAGTCAACCCTAAAAAGTTAAGTAAATCAAAATAAAAACAAAATTAAAAAAAAATGCGAAAATATTAGTAATACAGAAAAAAATTTAATTAATATTATAATTTTCTTTAAAGTTACATAAATAATAATAATAATAATAATAATAATAATAATAATAATAATAATAATAATAATAATAATAATAATAATAATAATAATAATAATAATAATAATATAATAATAATAATAATATAAACCTAATTTTCTTTATTATATAATATGAGAGATCACCATCATATCTAACTCCTCACACACACACACACACGCACAAAAGTGCAACAAATCCAATGATTTTTGCACACAAAAACACACACACACCACACACACACTCTCTCACACACACACACAGTACAAAGCAAAGAATCCACCACACCTCTGTTAAGTAGGGGTTTCTTTCTTCAGCAGTCATTTTCCATCTTCTCCCACAGCAATTATAGAGTTCCCCATAAGAGGGGGGGGAATCAAAGGTCGAATCTTTATTCCATATTCGCCTTTCTGTATCATATATATATATATATATATATATATATATATATATATATATATATATATATATATATATATATATATATATATATATATATATATATATATATATATATATATATATATA